GCTTCTGCTGGCCAGGGCAGACCCAGCCGGGCTCCTCCTTGCGTCCCCAGCAGCACGTGAGAAGCAGCCCCCTTGGGGCCTCGCGTGTGGGCGACCGGGCCCGGAGAGCTGCAGCGCCCAGGGGGAGGCTGGCCAGGGGAGTGAGCAGGCACCGCCTTGCTGTGGGGCAGGGCAGGGCAGGGCAGCGGGGCTGGCTTCAAGCGTGCGGGTGAGGAGGCAGGCACTGGCTGGCAGTGGCAGCAGCTGTTGCTTGCCCTCCCACGTAGGGCTGCTCCACCGGGCCAGGCGTAAGCACTGGGGTAAGCAGCTCCCCTCCCTTCGCTGCCGGCTGGGGCCTGCGGGCTGGCCCGCCCTGCCTGCCTCGCTGCGGCCCTGCTGCTGCTGCAGCTCCACGCCACCACCCTGCGCTCCGCGACAGCGGCTCTGCACTCCGTGCTCCACGCCGCCACCGCTGCTGCGGCGCCGCCACCGTGGCTCTGCGCCCTGCCTCTGCCGTGGCTCCCTGCTCCATGGTGGCGGCGCTGCCGCGGGCCAAATTAAATGGCTTGGTGGGCCGCATGGTGGCCCACGGGCCGTATGTTGGACAAGCCTGCACTAGTCCATACCATAAGTTACAAATGAACACTCAGCATCCATATATTTGCTGAGATGCCTAGTTTCAGTAAGTGTTTCCATTCAGTTAAAAAGGCTTGAAAAGATTCTTAAATGTTTAGTTTTGGGATGCTGTGTGTACCCAGATTTGAGCTTCTAGGCATCTCAATCTCAACTAATCTTTTTTTTTTTTTAAAATCCATATGAGAGCTGGGAGGCATCTCAACTCCACCAAATTCTTAGGGTGAGGTCAGAGTGTACAGACTGTTGGGTTGCATGCGTGCTCTCAGCGTGCATATACAACGCACAGGGATTTAGATCAGTCTCTTGGGGAAAAGTACCTACATTTTAGTCAGTGCAGTGTGAGACAAAGTGGCTTGGAGATCAGTAGCTCTTAGTCCTACAACCCTTGCTTGGTATGCTGTTTACATCGATAAGAAGCTTCTTGCCACTCCATCTGCGGCCATCATTTTGACAAGGATGAATTGGGGATTTAGTATAGGCAGCCAAATCAGGAAGAGGAGCTGGATGAGACATTCTTCAAGCACCACCACCACCCCCTTCAGGTTTCCTTATACAGTCTGAACAAAAAATATCTGCCACATATAGCAATATTGTGGGGCTCCCCTTCACTTCTGACAGAGTCCCAGGACCTGCGCAGCAGGGGACAGGGAAGGCAGCTGGCTCCAGCATTGGACTTCCCCATGTGCACTTCTGAGTGCAGGAACTGCAGGTGTGCTGCGTGGAGCCCCCACGATAGAGGTGGGCTGGACAGGCTGTGCTCCTAGCTGCAACGTGCAGCACTGGCTGGAGTTGCTGGCTACCCACGTGTTCAAGAAGTGTATTCAAAAGCTAATTTCCTGTTCCAGAAAATGAAGGATACAACTAGGATGTCTTGGATCTTGTCCTGACTAACAGGGAAGATTTGGTGAAGGATGTGAAGGTGATGGGTAACTTGAGAGGAAGTGGTCACACTATGATAAAATTCTAGATCCTGAGACAGGAAAAGTGTGAGGTCAGCAAAATTTAGGACTAGATTTAAAAAGGCAAATTTCATCCAATTTGAGGAATAGGCATGGTGCATGCCATGGGAGGATAGATTGAAGGATAAAGGTGCCCCAAAGGGCTAAGAGCTTCTGAAGGGCACAGTATTGAAAACCCCAAAACAAACTGTCCTAATACAAAGGGATACCAACGTGGCTGCACAAGGAGCTTCTAAAATGCTTCAGTGAAAAAATAAAGTGTGCGCGCAATGGAAGAATGGACAGGTCGCCAAGAAGTGTACCAAGAAATAGCAGGAACCTGAAGGGACAAAATAAGGAAGGCAAAGATAAAGAATGAGCCACACTGGGCAAAGGAAGTTAAAGATGGTAAGAAGAAGTTCTATAAATAGGTTAGCCAGAAAAGAACCAAAGAAGCTGTGGCTCCTCTGTTAACCAAGCCAGGGGGAACTCCTAATCAAAGATGCAAAGAAGGCAGAGCTACTCAACAGCTACTTTGCCTCAGTCTTTACAAATATTTAAGTTGCCAGCACCTGATAGGGATTATCTGGATAAGGAAGGGGGCAAGCTGAATGAGAAGATAAGAGAGCTTTTGTTGGGTCTGAATGAATTCAAGTCAGCAGGGCCAGATGAACTTCATCCCAGGGTGCTGAAAGAACTGGCAGAGGAGCCCTTGGCAGTGATCTTCATGAAATTGTGGGAGACAGGCCAGTTACCAGAGGACTGGAGAAGAGCTAACATCACACTCTTCTTTAAAAACGACAAAAAGGAGGACCCGGGGAACTACAGACAGGTTAACCTCACTTACAGGAGCATATCCTAAGGAAGGCTTTTTGCATGCACCTGGAAGAGGCAAGGCAGATCACAAACAGCCGGCATGGATCTATGAAAAACAAATAGTGTCAAACTTGATCCCCTTCTACAAAGTATCTTCATGGGTGGATGAAGAGAATGCTGTGGATGTAGTGTATCTGGACTTCAGCAAGTTTTGACAAGGTCCCACACAACCGTCTCCTAAATAAATTGGAGAAATGTGGGCTGGATAAAAGTACTACAGGGTGCACAGATGACTAGCTGAATAGCTGTAAGTAAAGGGTAATTTTTAATGGGCCTGTGTCAGAAGGGCAGGTTTTGATTGGAATCTCACAGGGGTCAGTCCTCAGCCCAGTGCTGTTCAATGTGTTTATTGATGCTTATTGGGCAGGTTTGCAGTTTACACAAAACTGGGAAGGATTGTGAGCGTGGTTCTTGATAGATTAGAAAGTTAGGCTGGAGCCAACAGGATGAAGTTTAATTGCTGACAAATGCAAGGTGATACACCTCGGGAGGAATACTCCAAAACAAATATAAAATGGGTCCTTGTCATCGACATTCCTTCATGGTCAAGCTTGATCGCTCCCACGGCTCATAGGCTTGCAGATGATTCCACTGATGGCTAAGAAGGTTTGTCCTAGAGCCACAGACTCATTGGCAGACACCGCACATGGTGGTTAAAGGGAGGGTCAAACCACATATTTCTCAGTCTTGTTTTCTTTCCTTCTGTTTGTCATTGAGCCATTGAGATGTATACCTTCTGCATCTACCTACTCCACCATTGATGTCTATGTTGTGTTTGATTGCTTTTTGTTTGATGCCTCACCTTTGACCTTGCCACCATGGACTGACCTCCTACCAGGAGTACAAGACTCCTGACAGTGTTACTTTTAGGGCATCAGTGCATGCGTAAGCCTTTCCATGGTCCCTAGGTCCAGTCAGAGCTGTCCTTAGCTCTGACTGGACCTTGGCAACGGTGGCGCGTGGTGGACGCAGCGGGGTTCGTACAGCACTGTCAACAGGGCCCCCCAAAGCACAGGGCCCGGTGCGATTGGGGCCTCTTGGCCAATCAGCAGTGAGAGATGCTGCAAAAAAGTCTGTCTCACCCCAATTTAGATTGTCTCACCCCTACTTATGTAGATTTTATCTTATGGATTGTGTAGGATAGCTTGGATAGGGATGATCCTGCTTCAGGCAGGGGGTTGGCCTAGATGACCTTTGGAGGTTCCTTCCAGCCCTCCTTTTTCTATGTTTCTATGAAATGTGTTACCTAGACAAGCTCTCTCTGTAGGCTCACCCCAAGTTTGTAGCTAAAGGTATCAGAATTTCACTTCAGTAGTTTTCCCTAACAGTATTCTTCCAGAAAACCTTATATTTGAGTTGGCTCATTTCCACATATGCTTGAGATTTTGCTGGGGCGGGGAGGAGTCTTGACTTTTACCTGCATATAACTCAGCCTTTTTCAAAATTTCCTAAGTTGTTTGATTATAAGTTATTTGACCTGAAATATCAAAAGGCACAGTGACTTGTATCCAGTGATTGCTTAACTAGATCTCAGATGGTGTCAGGGTAGGCCACAGCGTTACAGTAATGATGACTGCAACTTTCTGCTAGAGTCCTAGCAATCTTAGTCGCCTCTCTTTGGACGTCTCCAATCCAGACCTCAGGAAGACAGCAACCTGGAGCTCCATATGCATCTTTGCCAAACATTGTCACTGTGGAAGCTTCTACAGTGGATGCTGTGTCATATTTGGACCTGCCCTTACTGTATCAAATGCTGTTTTAAGTCAGCCACATATAGAAAAACACTTGAAAGAGGAAGAAATTTCTTGCGCGTTCTTATAGATGCACTGTTTGTTGTGCATAGCCTGCATTCTCTTCTCCTTCCCCACTTCCTCAGTCCCCGCCATTCTGGATATCTTTTGTTAAAAAAATGGGCAGAGGGATGTCCTTGCCATAAAGTGTAAGGCACAGTGTGTGTGTGTGTATATATATTTCAGGACAACAATGTCTCCAACCTCAAGTGCTTAAGATGCATGTGCCACTCCCTTGTGGTATATGCATATTGACAATATATCTTGAACTCCAGTTACTGGTAAGTAATCACTCTGTACATAAAATGGGGAAGAAGAGATTTTTTTCCCCCCTTTTTTTACTCTTAAATATTTTCTGTGATGTCGTTTTTCTTGTCAGGGTAATAGTATCCTGCATTTTACTGTTAAGTTGTGTTTACTGTTGGTTAGAATATTTTCTTTTTTTTTTTTAAACCAGAAATTATGGAGAATTCAGGAGAGGAAGGAATGCCTGACCTTGCTCATGTAATTCGCATTTTATCTGCGGAGAATATCCCAAATTTACCACCAGGGGGTGGTCTAGCTGGCAAGTAAGTACAATACTGTAGTCCTGGCTTTCTTTAACCTTGTTTATTTCTGTTAAGTATACATTTATTTCAGTTTAGTTATAAAGGTTTGAAGAAACATTTAACTTAGCTGATTTTTGGATATTAAACTAGTTCACTTTTTTGTACTGTAGAAATTATACATGATATACTATATCTTGCCACTGACCTCTCCCTTCCTTCCGAAGGGGGTCAACTGAAATTAATGTATTATACTGCGATACATAAAATGCTATTTTACCTTCCCATATAGGTGTGTTTTAAAAGCGTAAAGCCTGGTTTATTTGATTTTTATTTTTTCATGTTTGTTCACAAGCTACAGAAAGTATCAGTAGAATCATGATAAAATAATAGACTCATTAGGCAATGTTACATGCTACTCTTCATTTCTGGTGTAAAGGCCCTGTGTGTCTTAGGACAGTGCTTCTCAAAGCGGAGGTCCATGGACCAGTGCCGGTCCGTGAGCCACCGGTCGCCAGTCCTCAGCGAGTTGCCAGGAAAGAAAGAAATATATTTTCAGAACCATAACATTGATATGTCATAGCGCCACAGTTCATATGTTCCAACACTCCAGGTGACATCACGTCGTGCGAAGTGAGGAAAGAGAAAGAAACAGCCAGTCACGCATTTGTGTAGCGCTGTTACACGCAGTTGCTGCCACCGACTGAACCGGGCACCAGTCCCTGGCCCACTGGAAAAAAAATTGCCAGCCCGCCACGTCAGATAGTTTAAGAAGCACTGTCTTAGGATCAACGCCAATTTATTTGACCTGTTCAAAGGAAAGTTGCACTCATTTTGTTTAGTCTGTTAATTTGGATATTTGACAGGTTGGAAAACTTTCATGATCTTGCGCACAGAAATGTATGCAAAATCAGTTTTTTTAAGCATTTAAAATGCCTCCTGGTGTGACAGCATGTTTATTTTTTCATGTCATTTTGTTTTAGTGGCAATACAACATTTCTGAAACCAATAAAATTTAAAGGAAAGTGTTTCCCTTTCTTTCTCTCTTCCCCTTCCTTCTCCCCTCCCAAATGTTTAGACACTTACTAAACCAAGATCTAAGGCTGTTCAAAATGTCTTACACTTGGACTCCATTTGACCAGAGTAACCTGTTGCTTAATTTCTGAGCAATAGGCTCAAAATCGATGATTTTAAGGATAGTTGTAAAATGTTCTCATTCTATAGCTGGTTTATGGCAAGAAATGCAGCTCACATTAGGAACTCTTGGACTGCTGGGCTAAACAGAAAATGCGTAGCTAAGAAGAAATTACCAACTCTGAAAACCCAAAATAAAGCGAGAATTTCTTAAGTGTTCAGCCCAGGTGTAGCAGGATAAACTGTGAGGAAAGAAAAGACAGGGGAACAAAAATTCAGAAGAAAAGAATGTGGGTATCATTAACCTAAGCCTATAAAAATCCTTCATTACCATATATCTGAATACTGTGTTTAAATCCCTAAGCATCTTTTTGAAAACCTACATAAGCATATGATGCTGACATTTAAATGACAAACATAGAAGTTAAGACACAAATATTAGTCTTTGGTTTTATGGTGTAGTGCTTGAATTCTTAAAATATTTCTCTACTATATTAATTCTTTGCTTTATTTTTAGGCGTAATATTATTGAAGCTGTGTATAATAGGCTGAATCCACACAGAGAGAATGATGGGGTAAGTTTTACTTTTGAGTCTTAGACTTTGTTGGCAAAGAGCAAATCTTAGTACTTCATTGCAGATGAAGTACACCAAACAAAATTTGAGTAACATATATGTTATTTGTATCTACATGTGTTTTATGTAAACATAAAGAATTCAAATTGTACCAACATTGTCAATAAAATAATATGATACTTTAAAAATTCATTCTTAAAGGGACAGTGAGTTTCTCTGTAATGCCCAGTTGTGAACATTCAATTTTTAATATAAATTGCTGCTGCTGCTGCTTTTAATTCAGATCTCTGGAGCAACAATATAAGCTATCTTTTAGATGTTTGTATTTTGTCTTTGTTTTGAAATAAGAAATAAATGCCCTCGTAGGTGGTAATTTTAGGTGTACTATATCAAAAGTATAGCATCAAATTTTGTCATTCTAATAATCTCATTCCAGTATAAAATGAGTTTTCTGTTGAATGTGTATTCGATGTCAAGGCCACAATAGTGATACTGAACAGTTTTTTTTAGCATGTAAAACAGGTAACAACAGTTGAGGATAGTGTACCATTGCTTACTTTGGAAGCATGTTTTTTTAAATGCTCTAGAACCAGTATATTTAGAATTAAATAAAGTGACAGTTCCTCTGAAAACTTCATCTAATTGTTAAATGATTTTTATATACACCTGTGTGTTCAACTCCTGGAGATCTGAGTTTTTAAATCCTTGAACATTTTAATTTAAAAAAGAATTGTTAAGTGAGTTACTGCAACTGTTTAAATAGAAATAGTTCTGATTATTGAATTGATTAAGAAATACATTTGTAATTTATAAATTACCTGTTATAACATCTGTCCTACAGAATAATGGTAAATGGCATTCATGTTAGTCAGCAACACAGACTGTTTTAAAAACAGTGTCCAGGAGACAAAAGTTGATTATAATTTTTTTTTTTAAAGGATTATTTAGTAATTTATAAAGAGCTGATAGTGCTTAGCCTAATGTTGTGTTCTGCCCCAGGGTTCTTATCCTGAATTAATTTGTAAAGCTGATACTATGTCCTCTTATAAGCCTTCCTAATCATGACGCATTTTACAGAGGCCTGCAAGAAATCCATCCACAAATAATAGCTATACTGAGTGTCTATTGGATTTTAAATACTTTAAAATGGTTCTAAACTAAGTTTTATCCATAACTAGTCTCTGTACTGATACAGTCTTATCACCATTAACTCTGTTCTCTTCCCTCTGTATTCTCTTCCCTTCTGCCAGTTGTGTTTTTGGTTGTTGTCTTAAAATTGCAAGGTCTTCTATGAAAGGGCTGTTTTCCTGCATGCTTGTTTATTTATTTATGAGATGTATGTGCCACCTTTCCCAACAAAGGCTTAGGGCTCAGTAAAATATTTAAACAGAGACCCATAAGCAATATCTTGACCTAGCTTTGTTTACTAAATGTCTGCCCAAATAAGTAGGGACTTACTTAAATTGCACTTCCGTGATTTTCACAGAAACTGTGAAAACAGCAGTTTCCGCAGTCACCATGAAAAACAGCATTTGCTGTGATTTACTATGGAAGCGCCTGGAAAAAAAATAAGAACTTAGTAAAAATAAGATGCTGGCTCTCCAGTGGAAGCCAGTGGTGCTCATGGCTGTGGCTGCCCAGCCTCGCAGCCCACTGGAGGGGGGAGGTGCTGACTGGCAGAGCAGCATGAAGCAGAGCAGCCAAGATGATGGTTGCCCCTCATCTCTCCTCCCCTGCTGGGGCCTCTGCCAATCAGTGGTGAGGGATGGGACCACATGAAGAGCAGCCCTCTCTACCAGTCAGAAGCAAGGGGCAGGGCCACGGTGAAATGTCTGCGACAGTGGCTCTGCGTGGTGCAAGTAGATTGCAAAAAAAACCTTTGTCTCTCCTCTATTTAGGTAGTTCCCTACAAATAAGAAATTCTTGTAATGCAGAATTTGGTATGGGATGGGCCTAAATTCTTGTTTTGATGCTTGGCTGCATTTGGATAAAAATAAATAATGTTTTCTTCTTTTGCACCTGTTTATAAAATGTAGCTTTAATGATTTAATTTTGTCTTGCATCCTAATGGGTTAAGTTTAATATTAATATCTCTAATCCCTTCAAACCATTCCAGTTTCCTAAAACAAACATGTTCCCCATTTATGACCTACCTTCATGTCCTCGGACATCTGCTATCTTGTTTCCTTGCTTTTTTAGTTCTCAAGTAACTCTGCATCCATCCAACCCACCATGACGCCTAACAATAGAAGCATTGCTTTTTTTTTTCTCTGCCCCAGGGTGTCTTTTTACCCAGTTCCAAGAATTGTAACTGTGCAGGCTTAATTATAGCACCCAATTTAGAACACTTTCAGTAAAAGGAAAAATCTGACTCTTCTGTCTTATTTTTCCAGAAATGCACCATATTTGTGACAGATTCTTCTAAAGGAAACCTGAAAGGGCCAAATTTGGCTATACCTAGTGTTGCTCCACAGAAGTGAAAACTAGCTTAAGTGCAAATATGCAGCGTTATCTAAGCTACTGGGTGCCACAAAGTATTTTTGGACTCTTTTCATTATTATTTAATTTTTTATTTGTTTTATTAAACGACATGGGCAAGTCTTAGAAGTACATACCTGATATATAGCTCTGGTGGGCATTGTAAATGTAAATGGAGGATGGGCTTTAACCTTAATGATTATATTTACTTTTGATATGTTAATAAACTTTTTTAGTACAGTAAATGTGGACAATCTAGCACAGTATGCCTTTTGATCTTTGTAAGATGAATTTTCTTTTTTGCTAGGCTGTAAATAGACATTGTATTCGACCCAGTCCTGACTGTCCCAGTTTTGACGTAGATCAAAACAGGGGGTGGTACACTGCTCTTTCTCTGCCAGTTGGCAGCCAGCCAGAGCAAATGTCTTGGCCAGCTTGTTAGGAAATGACCTGTGATAACCTTAGAGGTGCGCACCGTGATGTCCTAGGAAAAAGTGGTGGCACAGTTTATTCCACATACTTTGACGGGACTTGAAGTGGTACAGTAGTCTTGTATGGCTATGGGACCCTACACATATATGCTGTCTCCCAGGACAAGTGTGTCTATTGCAGCCCTACTGTTCGGTACAAAATCCTGTGTTAAGGAGTACTCCATGCTCAAAGCTCAGTGGAGATTAGGGATGGCGGGCAAGGGGATCATATAAACCAGGGACAGGCAAAGTCTGGTCCATGGGCTGGGTCGGGCCCATGGAAACTCCATTTCCCAATAGCCCCTGCCCGCATTTCTGCAGCTGCTTTCCATGGAGACCACGTAAGTAGTGCTGCTGTGACAGCATGGGACCAGGGTTTCCATGGAGACCAGCTCCATGGAGCTGACAGGGCACATGGCTGGGCAGGGAGCTGCTCTGTGGCTGGGGCTGGGATCTTGCAGTGGTGATAGCATGGTCCAGAGTTGGGTCAGAGCTGTGATCTGCTGCCCTGGCTCTGGACCATGCTGTCACCACTGCAAGATCCCAGCCCTGGCTGCAGAGCAGTTCTCTACCAGCTGCATGCCCTGCCAGTGGTGTTGGAGCCAGTCTGCATGGAAACCTTGGCCCCATGCTGGGACAGCACCACTGCTGCTGGTGTCTCCATGGAGACCAACTTCAGTGATGCAGGCAAGGGCTGCTGGGAAATGGAATCTGGCCTCTGGCTGGATCCACCATTTTGCTACCCCTGATATAAACATACCAAACCTAGGAGTCAAGTTTTATGCATCAGCTGCAGGAGGTTTGGTGTTGGGATCCTTGAAAGGGAAACATGTTAATGCTCACACTTAGTGAAAGTCCTGGGTACTGCTGTTTTTTTGTTTCTCAGTAGATGAAAGGTGTCTTAGGCTGTCTGTACACGTGCTTGGAGGTGGGAGAGGGGGTGTGTTTTAATTAGAGCAGTTTCCAGACAGCCACTCTAATTAAAACAGCTCGCCATCACATGTATTCAGTCCCTACGTGTGTTAAAATGGCCACAGGGCGCTTTATCTAAAGCTCATTCAGGGAGGTTTAAGTAAAGTGGCCCTGCAGCCATTTTAAAGCATTGGGGGGGGGCGCCTAATGCATGTGATGATAAGGTGACACTGTCGCATTTTAATTAGAACATGAAAGAGCACATGTATAGACAGCATTTGTTTTTAAACAGGGACTTTGTCTAATTCACAAGATCTTGTAGGTCATGGAGTGGGCCACACAGTCTTTCAGACATACTTGCTTCTCACTGCTCTAACAGCCGACTGAGTTGAGGAAAAAAAGCTGAAAAAAGATAATTCAGTTACTAGCTAAAATGAGCTGAGTTCTTTTCCAGACCTGAGGTCAAGAAAGTATCTTTTCTACTCCTTGACAACCTCTAGTGCCCTATAAATCTACTTTCAAACAGGAAACAAAGGTGGAGGCAAGAAAACACCAATGTACCCGATTGGTGGTGGTCTGGAAGTGTTCTGCAAAGTGAAATTGGGACTTAAATTAATGTGCTCCTAATATGTTGTGTGAAGCAAAAGCAGAGCTTTATATTAAAAATTATGGGCTAAAGCTGCAACTGGTGTAAAGCTATGTAGCATGAAGGTGCACTAATTTTATACTTGAGAGTTTGTCCCTGTATATTTTTGTGGGATGTATTCTTGTGTAGATGTAAACATTTAAAAAAATCTTCTTCTGTGTCTAATATATTGCTGTAACAATCTTTGAAATGTCTGTCTTGTGATAGTCAAATTTTCAATCATTCAGTAATGCTATATCTTGTTGTCAATACTGGATATAATTTATGCTACCTTGATAAAACCTTTATATAGATAGATAGATATATCTATATCGATCGATCGATCGATAGATAGATGGGGGTGTGTGTGTGTGTGTGTATATTAGGTTTTGGAATTTCATATTAATAACACACAATCAGCTAAATATTATATACTGTGTGTGAAAACCTGCACTGAAAAGATGATGATGATATTTACATTAAGTTTTGCAAATTAACATATGTCTGATTGCTGGTACAGAATATATGGCAGTGTGAACAGCTTAATTAAAAGCAGCATAATTTGAGTGTATTTGTGGGCAAATAGAGCATTATAGACTGATAAATCAGTTCCAAGCGTATTTAATTAAAATAAGGAAAAATATTTTTTCATCATCAGATTTAGGTTTTAAAAATATATAAATAATTTGTAAGAAATCAGATTTGTCATTTTCTTGTGTTGCTTTTTACTACTTTTAAATATGCTGTTAAATAATTTAGAAAAAGGACTTTGATGTAAACATGCTGTCCTGTAAAAACAAACAAACAAACAAAAAAACCTGCGGAAGAGGGGATCTTCCCTATAATACTGAAGAGCTGTTTCAAGGCTGCTCTTGCAGTCTCAGGGATGTAGTAATCACTTTGGGCTCCTGTACACATGCTCAGAGCCTGCTCTGATGCGCTGGAAATCCCAGTTAATCAAGTCTCCTGGAGCATAAAAATCAATGCACTTCCGCAGCCTTCTGCATCAGTGTCGCTGTGTGACTCCACGCTGAAAAAAATGGTGGCGGGGCGCTTTGAAATGAAACATGTTTGATGACCTTTAGTTCAAAGCTCCTCGCCGCCATTTTTTTCAGCTCGGGAACGTGGGGCGATACTGATGCACGTCACACACAAGCCAAGCACTATTAATTAGCATAGCTTGCTAATTAAAGTGCCCAGCGCCACATCCCACAACACATGTTAAAATGCTTCATGATGTAGCTCATGACCTCTGGCTCGCTGCAGACTCCTGCTCACCAGATAGCCTTCCTCTGCAGTAACTCCACCTGTTGTGCTGCAGGCAAGGCTCCTCATCTGAAGGATGGGACAGGAACTTCCCCTTTATACTATAAATGTACATGGGTGCATAGTAGTAATCAGTGTCAACAAAAAGATGCAGATTACTAATGGAATCTCACTATTTTGTTTTTGCCCTTCTCACTGTTAACAAAAGAGATTTTTGGAAACAATTTACAAAAAAATTAAAGTAGGCTACTGTACAACCAAAAATTAGTTAAAGCTAAATTTAAACAGCAGGCAGAGTACTAGTTCTGCTGATTCCTTTAAGTAAAGGTTATTCTTGAAAATGTTCTAGCTTGTTTATGAAGTGGCTAAATTTTTCAATTTGTAGTTACATGTGTAAGTTTTAGGACCCCAACTCTGCCAACTTGCCTAGCTTTAAGCATACGAATAGTGTGTTGAAAACAATTGTAATAGTGTGCTTTACATTGGGCTTATGCTATAGAACCTGCCTGAATTGAATCCCAGATCTTATAATTTTTAATCTCAATCTTTTGTATAAAGATTGGGGTGCAGTAGTTCTGCAGCCTGGAAAATATCCTGCTTGGATACCTGTTTTCTTAAGAAAAGGCAGTTAAAATGAACCCTCATAATAGCAGCCTTTCATATATTCACTGTGACACATGTCTAGCATTAAACCAGGGTTTGAGGTATTTTTGCTTGTTTGAGCATATGCATTAAAACCAATGCTTAGAACCCATTTATTAGTTCTGGAAGAGTTCATATTGGCTTGCCAAAATTTCTCTCTACATGACAGGTCATTAAATGAAGGGATCTAAAGGATTTGTCACCTAACTAAATATTAGTGACTTCACAAATAATTCCATCCCTTTTTCAATGTTGTTAAGTCCCACAGGCCTTTAAAAGCTAGTATCTTTTTCTCTTATGTGCTGGTTAGCTCAGATTTGGAAAATGCTTGCATGTGTTACTGGAGAACTCAAAATATTCTTGAGATTAGGTTCCTTAGCCTCTTGCAAAAATGAGGCTTGGAGAACTAGGTGGGAGTATATATAATTGCAGCATCCCTTTTGCTGATGTCCTCAGATAAAGCTGTCTTTTGCACAAGGAGTTAAAATATATCCTAATTACACTGAAAATACCTAATTGTCATGCTCAGAAATCAAATATCTTGGCTCACCTGAGAGACTGAAACTTTTCTTGGTTATGAAAATATCAGCTAAGTCAGAAATCACCTAGGACTCGAAGCCTCTCAGGCTTCACAGGAACAAGAAACTGCAGTGGAGGTACAAATATTACTCTAAATTTTATGCAATAAAGACATGTTAGACGCTTCAATAATAAATTTGGAAGAGAAAAAATACACCCGTACTATATACCCCATGCTTTTTTGATTACTGGGTTTTTCTTCTGTTCTTTAGTTTCAGCAATGTCAGGGCAGTTGCTTCTTTTAACAATAATGCTTTTTAAGGTGGGATTTCAGATGGATTAAAGCTCTCAAGCTACAGGCCACCAAAATTAGTACAATATTGGAAGAGGTTAAGAAAAAGGAATAAATGATTATAATGAGTCATATGATTTGCCTTTTATGTCCTTTGTCATTAGAATTACCACCTTCGAGTGGTATCTGACCTCTGTTTCTAGTTTGACAGCCCTGCTAGCCTTTATAATTTATAATGTCCCTGGTTCCTCAGAGCAACAGTGCTGTTTTGGCTCCAGTACAGAGCTTTAAATAGCCATTGTGGATCTCAGCCCAGTGCAACTTTTTATCTTAGCTAATGCACACTAGACCCCATCCTGGAATAATAAACATTAGTGTCATGCTTTGCTTTTTCGTGGTGTTTTTTGTTTTGTTTTGTTTTGTTTATGTTGTTTTGATTCACCCATTTGGTTGAAGTGGCTTGAAGTAACTCGTGTCTCGTAAGGTTGGATTCCTTTCCACATTGAAAGCCAGGATTAGACTGAGTGCTTTGAGTCGCTTGATTTAGTTTTAACATGTATTTTAGCTATTAATTTTCCTGGGCAGTAGTCAAATTTGACGGTGGCTTAGGAAAGGTTGCTAGCTTGTTGCATGTTTGGGGAATAATTTCTCTTTGGAACAGAGTGGTGGAAATTCTTTCTTTTGGCAGTATTTTTACACAGAAAGAGGATCAGATTGCTAGTGTCCAAAAATTTATGATTTTGAAATGAATATTAGTTTAATGTTTAATGCAGAGCTTGTTCATAGCTTTTAGTTAAGCTGTTCGCAGAAGTGCATTGCTACTGATTCAGTAATGGTTTCCATTTGAAAATATTTAAAATATTGCTTTGGTTTATAGTGTAATCTTAAGTGGCATTTTTTTCAGTTGTTTCTGACACTTATTGGAAGTAATCCATGTACATCAAAAATGATTTCAGCCAAAGCATGAATAGAGTCAACAAGTTGACATTATTTTTGTGCCTCACTGAAAGTAAATGTTTTTCAACAACGTATATATTTTAATGTGTGATTTTTAAATACATGGTATTTTCTAAAAAAACCAAACCAAAACAAAACCTCATAACCATGAGTAAAATACTTTCATTTTAATGTGCATGTTACTAATTTAATAAGATGTTATATATTTACATAAGATGGCATAAAATGTCAGATCTTTCTCAATCAGAAATGCCTAATTTTATAGAATGTCTTTAAAAATTATATGTATAACTATAAAATATTCTAGTTTAACTACTGACTTTTGGGGTCTTCAATCTTGAAAAAGGACCCTGGCGAAGCAGAGGAAAGTGGAACTCAGGGAAAATTGGTGGAAGCTCTCAGGCAAATGAGAATTAATCATAGGGGGAACTACCGCCACCTTCTGGAGGAGATGTTGACTAGTTACAGGCTAGCTAAAATACAGGGAGAAGAGAGCACAACTGAACCAGCTGCAGCATCTACTTCAGATAAACATGCTGGACCCAGTGACCCAGCTGCAGACACCCAAACAGAAACTGAGAATCACCTTGCTGAAATACAGAGGTCTAATGAAGATTCAGGGATGAATGAGATGTGATAAACAAGCATAATGTCTTTGTATTTCACCCAGCTGATTTGATAGTTTGGTTTAGCTGCTGTGTTTATAGCTTACATACAAAAAACTAGAACTCTTGTTTCCAAAATGATACCTGTGTTTATAGCTTAGCGTTTTGTCATATTAGTTCTAGAAAAGTCCATTTTACTTTCACTTATATGTACGGACTTTATATACATATAAGTATATGTAAAATTAATTAATTAGCCATCTCTTTTTGAGTAGTTTATATTTTACAACTTATTATAGGTTGAATTAACTGACATTGTAATTTATGTTATATATTATGTGAACCAGGGAGTAGGGCCCCTGCGCTACTGGAAGGTACTCAAGGTTTTACTTTTTTAATGGGGAAAAAAAGCCTGTGATGCCAGTGGTAGGAGTTTGAAATTTGCTAAAGTGCAAAAAAAAAAAAAAAGATTTTTAATTTTTAAAATACCTGAATTTTAATGCTGCACGTATGTTTATTATAAGATAATTCACATCCTTAATCATATACAATGTTTGCTCAAATTAGTGATTTATAGAAGTACTTTGACAACTTTTTCACAGCATGATTATGCTACATATTGCATGTTTGTATTTGATGAATTGTATATAGTTCACATTATCACAGAAAAATATTCATTTAGGGTTTAGGACATGTTAAGCCACCTTTTTTTCTAAATGTTTAGTCCTTTCAACTCAGACTGTATCTTCTGTTCAATATGACTATCTACCTTATTTTCTAGTAAATTGTATCTTTATTCTACAAGTTATAGCATACTGTATATTCAGGTAATAAAGTGTATTTAGAATTTAGTGATCAGTGTCAAGTTCTATTAAAAAAGAAAAGAAAAAAACAATTTATGTTTTAAGTCCCAATAAAGAATCTGAAATGGAATACCTGTATGCATATTGACTTTATTTAATTGATTTTGGTAATATAACCCTGTTTCAAAAACCCTATGGAAATTCACTTAAAGTATTTATTATACAGGTACAGCTTTGCATTTTTTGTAGCTACACTTGTAGCAGACAACAAAGATTATGATGGATCTTCCCATAACCTTTTCTGAAAGTGTTCTGGTGACTTTTAGTGTGAATAAAAATATTGTAAATATAATCTGTGCTATATTGATATTTCATAAAAGCTTTTAAGTAAAATATATTGCAATAAAAATGAAGTAAATGTGTTGTTTTGTTTAGGTTACCTTCTGTCTGTTAGTGTGATGTTCCCTTGCATTTTTGTGTGTGTGTGTACACACATCCACATCCGCAGTCAAGTAGATTAGTGATATAAAGTATGAAACTATCACTTCAGTGTGCATCTAACTGCTACATAATTGCTGAAATGCCATTATCAGTAGTCTGCAGTTATTAGTAGTGATGTAGGTATATTGGCACAGTGTTTTCTGTTTATTTGTACTACGACTTAATTCCCCAAAACAAAACAGCTGTTGTTCATTCAAAAAAAAAAATTCACTACATTAATGAAATAAGATCCTGTGGGAACATCTTGCTAAATCTGGATTAGCTTTCAAGAGTGCAGGAATCTCATTAGCATTCCACCTATTTTCATATTTTAACCAAAGGAACTATTTAATTGGTTGATTTGAATAATTTTTGCTTTTGTTTCATGTTATGTATATTTGCTTTTGTTTTATTGTATGTATATTCATTACAAAGCATTGTTTTTATTGCATTAATATTGTATAAGATAAAGGCGTAGCTAAGTTTTAATTAACTGTATTGTGTTTCCAAAAAGACATCTTGAAATTTGGAGTGCGAGTGACTTTGAGTAAATTAACATAAAAAGAGGTGGCAGTTTCTTTTATTCTTTATGTGCTCATGTTCCACTTCTGTTATGCTTTTAGTATTCACTACATTATGGGTTAGTTTAATTTGTATTAGTGAGTAGTAATATTTTTCCTCTTCTTTTCCTGTAGGGTGCTGGAGATCTAGAAGATCCGTGGTAGCCTTACAAATCTACTAAAATGCTTTTGATTCTGAAAAAAAATGGGGGAAAAACTTTTAATCAGTTTTCTTCAATACAAGGGAAAAATTCTGGTGGATTTCCAACATTTTGTGAAATGGGCAGAAAGATATTAGAATTTTCCATCATTTGTTCACTTTTCTTTTGTTTTCTGATATTGCCACTCTTAGCATTGCCTGTACTACAGTATTTTTACCAGCCTCAGGCGTACCGATTACATCTGTATTGAACTT